CACATGGGTTTGCTTCTTGTGGTTTCCTTTCATGTGCTGCACATATGCTGACTTGTCCGGGTTTTTTTTTTATTAAGGCCCCAAAAGTATGGCAGCGTTTTTGAAAACGCCGCCTTGGTGTTTGGTTCATGCGTTTCTCCCACGATTTTAAAACCCGTGTTTCACTGTTTAGGGTAAACACTGAACGCGGGGTTTTGCCTGTGTATCGCGTTTGCGACATCCTATTTTCCTTCGCTGCGCTCACTACTCTCGCTTGCCCTGGTTCTTCGCCCTATCGATCGTGCCCTAGCTACCAAGAAGGTGTATTCTGGTAAAAAAAATTTGTGCCCCCTCTCCTCCCATTTCTTCTTCCTTCCTCGTCTTCTTTTCTCCTCCCCCCTCTCGTCCTCCATTGATCTGCGAGAATGATTTTTGTGGCAACGGTTGTGACTTTCTGGTGTTATATATGTATGCGATTTCATGGTTACTGTTAGATCCATAAACCTCAACATCGTTTATGTATTGTAAGCGTGAAGCAGTTGGTTTTGATCTTTGTAGCTTAGATCTTTGAGGTTTTTCCATATACCTTATTTTTACATTTACTCCTAAATTTTATTCAATTTTAATGTCAGAAATAGTTGGTCTTTGCAGTTTTTTGTTGAAGCTGGAAAGATGTATTTGCGTTTTAATAATTGGAATGATCAGTTACTTACTAAATGTTGTTTTTGATGCGTTAGAGAATCGGAAAGATTTGAAACTTCTCTGTTTTTAATACGGCAAGTACTCCATATGTTTGGTTAGTTCAGATTTGATACTTCTCGGTTTTTGATCTGCCAAGATTCGTAGGTTTCACTAGAAACAACTTCTTTGCTGCATTAATGTTTTTGTCACTCACATCACGCCAGTCACATAGTTACGAGAGACAATTCTACATGTGTCCGCGGTGGACACAAGGACAGGAGAACTGCAATTTCTTTAGGTGGGCCGACAGTACATCCATTTCTATGATATCCCAACTGGACACTGGTGCTCGGAGTTCGTCAGTATCACAATTTTAGAACACCGTTTCTGGTTCGAGTGTTTCCATTTCTACGATATCTCAATCCGACAATTTTGCTTGGAGTTTTGAAGTGTCAGAACCGGGCAACATGCATTGTGGCATGCTTTTACATTTTAAAGTCAATATTATAATTTTTTCCTTGTAATTTTAACATGTTATTTTTTTCTTTTTTTTGTCTCATTATAGTACATATTAGCGTGTTAATGTGTATTTCACTTTTGTTTAGGTAACTATGCTTATGTGATTGTTCTAAAATATTTAAGTGATATAAATATTTGGTATTTTCTTGTCTTAACATTTGAACATTAGATTTTAAGAATATTTTGTATTTTCATGTTATTGAATCTATTGAATCTTCACTTTTATCTCACTTTTATCTCCCCTTTATGATTGCATTAAGAAGATTGATAAATTTGTAAATATCAAATTTTTTGCGGCCTATATGTGTCAAGTGAGTCTGAAGTGAGTTAATTAATTCTGAAATAGCAAAATGGTAGATATTGCTGTTTTTTTAGAATAATACCAAGTTTACGTGCCAGATTGTTCATTTAACTAAAAAAATCTACAAATCAGTTGTTTACAAAAAAACACAAACCAAATAGCTGCAGCTTATCTAGAACAGGGGCAGATTGATAATTTTTTCAAAATCGGTTGTTCTTTAAACGCACAAACAAAATAGTCAGTCAGCTTATCCGGATCAGTTGGTCATCAGCAGATTATCAAGATAAGCTGTTTATCAGCATAAGCTAGATAAGCTGCAGCTGCCCAAAATAGACCCTAAGGGGCACCATCCAATTCTTATGTATTTACATAACTAACACCTAAACTTTACCTTTTACATTAATACCATCCAAATCTTTTATATCACATAAAAATATCACTATTTTTAACTTGACTTTTAAAAGTGAAATACATTCATGCATGGGTAAGATGACATAAATACATTTAAATGTGAAACACAAGAACTTAGTGATATGCATGTAAATCATCTTTTACTTAATTAACATGAATTGTTCGCCTTCTTGCAATCACTTACTAAAAACTTGTACTGAGTTGTTGATTGCCTAAAAAGGCTTAGAATTTATAGTTTTGATTGATTCTTAGAGGATTTTAAATAATTGTTTATTTTAAATTTTTAGCGAGCCATATACAGAATTTAGGGCATGCAAAATAAAATAATAAATAATTCAATAAAAATTAAAAAATTTTAATACGTGTTCATGATGCGGGGCTTATAAATATGTTTCTTATAGAGTTAGGGTTTAGTTCTTTTTTTTTTTCAGATTTTGGCCACAACGTTTCCCCTTGCTAGAGTTGTATCCAAGAATAGGTGGTGCTCTGGTTGTATTCTGCTCCGATGTGATGATTATCTCCTTGATTGCCTCCACAATTTTCGTTCTCCCTGTTCAAACTGTCGGCCACCCTCTCCCCACCTTTTTAGTCCAGCAGCCAGCCACCCTATCCCCTCTTTTCCTTTTATAGTCGTCAGTCATCCCTTTTCCCTCCTCCCAGTCCAGCCGCAAACCTCCTACCCTCTCTCTATCTTCCAGCTTTCAGTCCACCAACCTCCCAGATTCTAGTTGCAGACTTTCCACCATCTCTCTCCTTGATTTCCAAGTCGTTGATCACCCCTCCCCTTCCCTGTAACTATCCACGAGCCACATGTTTCTTACCCTTCCCTATTTCAGCCAGTAGCCATCGCGACATCACCATCACTGTCACGGGATCTTCCTACCCTACCTAAGCCGAATATGGACGTTGTTGTGTTTTCTATTTCTGTTTGAATCTTGATTGTAATCCAATCTATTTTTGAGTAATAATATTTGCTTCCGTTTTGTGATTTTGGAATAAATCTGGTATAAATTGGCATAAGAGCTAGCCTAACCCTAGTCCTATCTTAGGGTTTCCTAGCATCTACCTTGCCACCCAACCAAATTTTGTTTTTTTTTTCCTTATCCTCAACCCTCTTTCCAATCCCAAACCCTAATCATGCCACCACGTAGATAAATGTTGGAACCTACCTAGGACAAGATATAACGAGAGATTCATCAACTTCAATAGAGGCTCGCAGAGATTGATAATGGAACCCAGAAGAATTTATCCTCGACCGCGATCTGGAGAGTCAAAGGGAATATAGAGACAGAAATCTGAATCTATTCCACAAAAAAGACATCATTGATGAGGAATAAAGACCCCGCCATTATGGGATTCAATATTAGAGGAGGTAGAGAGAGGAGCCCACATATGGAGGACACAAGGATTTTGGCATCAAGATGAATCTACCAGAGTTCGATGGAGCTATGGATCTGGGTGACTTTATCGACTGAATACAATCGGTTGAGCGAATATTTGAATATAAAAAAGTGACAGAGGATAAACGAGTAAAATTAACAGCCATCAAGTTGAAAAAGAATGCATCTTTGTTGTGGGAAAATTTGTAGAGGTAGGGGTAGAGAGAAAGCGGTGATAAGATTACCAAGTGAGAAAAGATGAGGAAAGAAATACAGAAGAAATATATTTTACCTCACTACCGTCAAGATATGTTTTAGAGACTCCACCTACAACAGAGGAACTTATCAGTGAAAGAGAGTGTACAACACAAGTTGATCAGTTGCAAATGAAGTGTGAGTTAGTCGAGCAAGAGAAACACACCATAACTAGGTATTTAAGCGGCCTGAAGCCCGCTATTAGTAACGTTATGCAGTTATAACCATATTGGTCACTAGGGGATGTCCAAAGCTTAACTTTGAAGGTAAAAAGAAAACAGAAACAAAGTAGGCAACAACCCTCATTCATATGGTAGTTCTCAGTCAGGCAATCACCTAGGACTACAACGACTGATAAGGGTACCTCACGAGGAATTGGCAAGACAAGACTGAGGATTGATAAGACAAATTTGCCCGTAAAGAAGTTGAAAAAAAAAAGCATATTTAATAGCATAATTCTTATATAGCATATTTAACTAAACAAAAAATTAGATGGTTGAAAGTCTAAAGGCATAAATGGTTGAAAGTTTAAGGTCATAATTCCATAAAGAGAGCAATCTGATGAGTTCCAAACATATGTTCCAGGCAATAATAAAGGGCAGCGAAGATAATGGCGAGAAAAGTAAAATGTGGGAGAAGAAGAATGGCAGAGAAGTAAAATGGGGGACAAGAAGAATGACAGAAGATAATGGAGAGATGAGAAGAATGATGTAGAAGTTATCAGACAAGAGGAGAAGGCAAGACGAGGATCGAGAGCGCTAGGGTTGTGAGCTCCGGAGAAGAAAGAAGGTGCAGAGGAGATCGGGAGCACTCTCTAGTGCACGATTCGGATTTGCGAACGAAGGGTAGAATGGCGAACCGCAGGCAATCCTTATTAGCGAACGGCGGAACGCACCTATGGTTTCGCATTTGCGTCTGAAAAGTATTCCAAACCGCCGTTCAAGACGGGTAGAGCCAAATACAAAAAACAAACACACAGAAACGTGTTATTAGATACACGGTTTTAAAAACCGAAACTAACGCGCCATTAAATGTGTATTTTTGGTACATAGTAAAAAAATAATATATTTAGCAAGACTATAATATGAAATGCAACAAAAACCTGAAATTATCTTTTAGCCTTAAATGGATTAATCTTATGATTATCACTTTAAACTCTTCATAAGTCTTTCTTATAATTAGAACATGTTTAACAAAGTAACCCCAGAAAAGCCTAATGCCTTGGGCATTAAATAGTTATATCATCTTAAAGGATGCCCTTGACAAAACTAGTTATAAGCTTTAAAATTTTCCTTGAAGCATAAATGGGCTTATAGACCAGCAATTTCAAGTCCATACCATTGATACATTTGAAAGGCCAGGCATATGAGCTGATCCATATTCTTAAAAAGTACAACAGTACAGGTAAGCATTGATATCTCAAAAAAATTAATAATTAAAAAAAGGAGGGAGGGGGCGTGGGGGAGAACTATAACCTGTCTAAAATGCCACGATCCTTTCAACAAAAGAGTTAGTATTGCAAGTAGAACAAAGTTTGTACTGCCTGCATAATACAATATGATATGTTAAGTGAACATCAGGCATACGCTTTTATCAAATAGGTAGCAAATTTAGATAATAAAGAATACAAGGATGTAGTTGGACCCATTTAACTTGAACAACACCAATGTATAAAAACACGAGAAAAAAGACACTAAGTTAAACTATATGGATGTAATGTTAAAAGAGCGAGAACCAAATTTTTACAATTGTGCCTTATTTTATTTCTTAATCGTTCTTTTTGTTATAACCACTCATCATTTTATTGTTCTATTTTCTTGAGAAAACTGAGAGCCATAGACAAGATTTTGAAAGCCAAACTGAACATTGAATTAGAAGAAAGATTCACGATTCTCAAGTTAAATGAAAGTTAAACCAGAGGTAGAACTTGTATAATAACTATTAATTTTTTTTTAATATTACTTGAATAAATAATAATGACGCAAAAATGTGATAAAAAAAATGACTATGTAATATAAAAATATACAAGAAATATCTCCCATACTTGCATATTTAATAACATTCAATATTTAAGTAATTGACGTCTTCTATTGTACCCATAAAAAAAAATTCAGAAAGCCTCTTGAAATCTTCTATATTTTTTAAAATATAATTCAAATGCTTTTTAATTTAATACAAAAATGTTGAAAACATATTCCACCTTCAGCCTAATATAGAGATTCAAATGAAATAATCAATACATAGATATTTGAATGGAGTAATCAATATATAAACATTCCACAATAATTTCTAACATCTTGTTAGCCATATACAATCTATAAATATAATTAAGAGAAAAAATTCATACAGCACAAAGAAATAGGGTAGACACAATAGAAGACATATCAAACTATTGGAGTAGCTGAACCATCAGCTCTGTCCACCTTGAGAAACAGAGAGCCAAAGAGGGAAGAAAGGGTACGAGTGAAAATGGCGACGAAAGAGGAAACCTATGCGATCATTGCGACTTGGTTGTAGCATAGTCTTTTAGGTAAGAATTAAGAGTTAGATAAGTTTTTAAATTTAATTAAAATCATTACTCACCACTAGATTGAAAAGCAACAATGATGAGAATATTAAAATTTGAACTATGCGGTTTAATAAAATTGGGGCCGCTAGTTCCCAATGGCTCATTCCAGTTCTAGTCAAAAAAGATTTTAATCGTTCCCCGAACTAGCTTTGAGACTAGTCCATGCTCTAAACAAGAGGGCTCGTCGGTCCAGTTCAGTTTTTTTTCTTGGTCATAGAGCAATTCTATTATAAAAAATAGTTACAAATACAACTGTTTTGCAGAGGAAGAAAAAAATAAATATAGAAGACAAGGTTGTGGTAAATAATATAAAAAAATAAACATAAAAGAAACATCCAAAAAATATTTAAAGAAAAAAGAAAGACTAGAGATCAGAAAGTCCCAATTTAATCCAAGTTGTGTATATACAACATCGCACCAAAACAAAAATGAGAGAAATCAATAGTCCAAGTAGGTTTCATCCTAAAGGAAGAAACACAAAGTCCAAAGCAAAATGAAGCAAAGAAGACAACAACAAACCAAAAAATTTCAACTTTGAAATAACAAGTCACCCTCTTGCACATAGAAAATGAGGAATAATAAAGCCAATACATAAAGAGACCCAAAAATGGCCAAAAACATATTAGATTGCTTATTGCTAAATTTTCTATCATTTTTATGGGATCCAAAAATTTGCCCCTCTGGCCTCCCTCGAGAAGAAATAAATAAAAATGAAAATGAAATGAGGGTGAGTGAAGGCCATGACCCATGAGATTCCAGGCCAAGTTTTCAAAAGGCACATGAATTTTACATTTCAAACATGCTCGCATCGAATCTCTTCGTCTACCAGTCTTTAGAAGCATCGATGTTTACTATATAGGATCCCAACACAAGCCTACGGATCCTCGCTTTAGTTCTTTCCATATTTTTCAGTCATTTTACATTTGTTCTCATTTGTTCTTAAATTGCATTCTATCATACTCTCTTCCCGTGCTTTCTTTATATACTTTTATTTTGTTCTGTCAATCTTCCTTATTAAAATAGTTGGTTGACCTAATTCCCAACTCGACCTCTTTGACATAGAGGTCACAAAATATTAATGTCATCTCTTTATCCTAGATAGCAGATGAACTGATTTTTTTTGTCTTGCCTAGTACAACAACTAACATGTAAAGAACTAAGAAAACATAAACATTGCAACACCACCACCGTATCAAAACCACCACCATCATATCTATCAACACATCACACTACCTCAAAACCAACACCATACCACTTCCTCCAAACCACACACCACCATCTCAACACAACCAACGACCAACATCAATATCACACCACACCACCTCCACATCACCTGCCTCCACAACACACCACCACCTTCACACAAACTACAACCAACACCAATAGCACCACCTCCACATCACTTGCCTCCACAACACACCACTACCTCCAAAAAAAACCTACAACCAACATCAATAGCACACAACCACCATATCACCAAAAACCAACACCAACACCACACCACACCACCTCCTCCAAACCACACACAAGCACCTCCAGACCACCAACCACCAACATGAAAGGTTTGATAGTGTCAAGCGTAAATGCATTGGTTATGGGTGCTTGTATGTAATTTACACAAAACATTCTGGTCTACGAATCAAGCACCCTCCTTTATCCATTTTTCAAATTCACACTCAAACATCAAAAGTAGTGATAAAACCTCATCCCATATTTTTCATTTGAGGCAATTACATACAAGACACTTGAAATGTTGCTATCTACAAATTAACATCCTCTTTCATCCATTTTTCAAATTCTAGTTCAAACATCAAAGATAAACATTCCATATTTTTGAATTGAGGCAATTAAATACAGGGCATAGAAAACAATGCCATGTACAAATCAAGCTCCCTATTTCATCCATTTTTCAAATTTCCACTCAAAAACCAGTGAAGATAATGATAGAAGGCCATCCCATACATTCAAGGCACCCAAAATATTTCTATCTACAAATCAAGCGTACTCTTTCATCCATTTATCAAATTCTCACTCAAAAAAATCACTGAAGATAAAAAAAACTATTCCACATATTTCCTTTTTATCACAAATTTCAAATCACAAAATCAGAGATAAATCAGAAACCACAAATCGCAAATATCACAAACTTCTCACAATAAATTGCAAATGAGAAAGCCAAAAATTCAAACGAGAAAGTCATTCCATAAAAAATGATCACAGGAATTATGTACAAAGCACGGTAACCAAAGATTAGAGGGAAGAGGGAAGAGGGAGAGTAGAAAGGCAACCATCGAAGAGAGGCGCGTGAGAGGCTCGAGAAGCGTGAGAAAGGCGCAAGAGAGAAACGAAAGAGAGAGAGAGAGGGGAACCTAGGGTTCGAGAGAAGCGTGAGAAAGAGAAAGGTACCTAAGGCAAAAGAGAAACCGCGACCTGCATTTAACACGGATTAAAAGAAAAAGCCACCGCGCCGCAAGAACCAAACACTTCAACCAGCGTTTTCAAAACACACCGCACCAAATAAGCTGCCGCAAAACGGTCCCCAAGCAGAAATAGAGATTATATTTATTAAAAACGAATTATTTAATAACCTATAACTTACCATATAATCATAGTGGTTGCGCATAACACTACTTGGAGCTGAAGGGAACCATATATTTTTCATAAGAAATTAAAAAAATGGAAAAGTATGACTTTCTGCCCTAATGAAAGCATTGAATATTTTACTACAAAGTTACTCGAATTTTCCTCGATTAAAAAGAAAAAGAAACATGGGAAAGCTTAGACACAGTATGTTAAATCTACACTCCACACTGGAATGCCACTACACAAGGAAAGTAAGGTTTAAACTCAACAATCAAGCAAACAAATATAATCGAAGTAAAGTTATAACATAAGGTCCAATATTTTTCAGTATTTGCAAGTAACATTATCTATTTTCTTGGAGTTTTATTCTTCGTACTCCAAAGAATAACATCTCCGTACAATATCTTGATATCTAGCATGGCTATCCTTAAATATATTAAAATTTTGAATTAATTCAGCGTTAATATTATATTGACTCAACAAAAAATTCTCTAATTAATCACTTACAACAAATTTGAAAAATTGAAAATTCCTTTTGTATTTAGCATTTTGCATTGGGATTTCAACCTGCTATGGGAAAACTACAATCAGGAATTGAGATATCAGTCTCAGGATTCTCATTGTGTAGCATTGATCTACATGCAATGTCAATCTTTGTTCGAAATCTCTCTTCTTTTTTTGTCGACTAGGGCTATCAAAAAAACTTGTTGTTCGCGAACGGCTCGTGATCGGCTCTCTAAGTAGCTCGTGTTCGATTCTTTCGTTAAGTAAACATGGAAAACATGAATATTTTTTTTTGAACTCAATGTATAAACGAGCCAAACATAAGCAAAAACTTGTTCGTTCGTGTTCAGCTCAATTTGACTTGAAATAATTAAATAATAAATAAATAATATTGGTAAAATATTTATATATTAATTTTTTAAATTATATTTTAAAAATATTAAATTTTATTATATTTTAAAAAAATTTAGTTAGAACTTACAATGAAAAATAAAATTCTCATATTGAATTATATAAATACATAAGAATTAGTTACCGGAATGTAAGAAAATTTCATTAAAAATTTTTAGCTAAGTCCTCGCGCCTCGGTGGAATGGTGAGGAAATAAAACAGGGGAGTTTGACGGCGTTTAGACGGAGACAAGCTACAATCGATGGCTGCCCAGGCTGACAATAGCGAAAAAAAATCAAAATTGGCAACGTTCAAGTAGCGAGGAGGTTCCACCATTTGTTCCCGAGCAACAGACAAGTACACCACTTGCAAAAGAAAAGAATACAACACTCTGAATAGCATAAAACAAATAACTACATCTCCAAACACAATAACAATGTCAAATTTCTTCAAAATCAAAAAATAATATATAAATAGTTCATCACGTAAAATGTCTA